CCTAGTATTTAAGATTTTCTCTACAATTTTGGACAAAGCTGGTAGGACAGAAATAGGGCGGTAGTTATTTATATCATCTCTGTTTCCACTTTTATAAACAGGTGTTACTAATGATTGTTTAAGTGCGTAAGGAAATATACCACTCGTAAAACAGAGGTTTATAAGGTAAGTGAATACGGGCACAAACAAATCCTTTCCCAACTTCAAAAACCTGTTTGGAATTTTATCCCACCCGGAAGCGCTATCAGAGTCAAGACTCATCAACACCCTCTCTACTTCAGCATTATCTGTTTCGAGCAAAACAAAAGAGTTTAGGAGTACAGTAGTAGAAGTGGATTTAGAAGTCGGGCTGTATAACATCTTAGACTTAATTTCTTCAGCCAGGCAACTACCTATTCCGGAGAAATATTTATTAATATAATTAACTGAATCCTGGGGTGTAGGTTTTATATTTAATAAACACGAATTTGAAACATTCTTTTTTTAAATTGTGTAACTTCATTTATATTTTTCCAGAGGACTTTATTATTTTTACAAGATTTAGAAATGACGCTACAATCATGATTACGTTTTTGTTTTTTAATAAGTTTATTACAAAAATTTCGGTAACGACGGTAAGTGATCTTTAATATATCATTTGTTGGGTCTTGTTTTAGTTTTTTTTGCATAGCATTTCTGTTTCTTATGCATCGAAGTATACCTTCTGTCATCCAGGGCTTGATAAATCTCTTTGTCCCAGGAATAGTTAAAATTTTGGTGTGTTTAACTAATGCATTAGATATTTTATCGATCAATATATTAGTTAGAGTATTTGGGTCTGTACATAAATATAAATCGTCAAAATTTTTTAAATGTAGACTGTTTAAGGCGGCATTAAAGTCAGTTACAGATTTTGTTTTATTAGATTTGCTTAAGCTATTGTTGCCCACTAGGCTAAGTAGAGTCATATTGTGGTCTGTTATAGTTGTATCGAGAATTGCGACGAAAGCGGTTGTTCTTTTTTTATCAATTTTTAGCATAAAATGGTCCAAACAACGCAATCCTCTGGTAGGAAAATGGTGGCCTGGAAGTATTTCATTTGTAGCCAAAGCGGTCAGATATAGATTTCTGTTATTTCTTTCATAGCTTTGCTCACACATAATAGGTAATAAATTTATATTAATGTCACCCGCTACAATAATATGACTAGTTTTAACTGAATTTAGATGTAAATCAATAGAGTGAATAAATTCGTCAGCTTTTGTGATGGAAGGAGAACGATATATACCTAAAATTGTATATTGATTTATAGTTATTTGTAAACATGAAGCTTTGTATAAATTAATTTCCTTGACAAGTGCTCTGTAAACATTCTTTATGTAAACTACCACACCATCGTTTTGATTTAACTGAGTATTTGTCGAATAGGAACAGTAGTTATCTAAAGTGGGAATTGGTTTATTTTTATCTAACCAGCACTCCGTCAAAATTATTATATCAATGCAAGGTTTAAGTTGCGCTAAGTGTATTAATAGACTGTCAAAATTACAATATATACTTGTTATATTTTGAGCTATAATATTCAGATTTCCATATTTAAAAACAGCGTTTGAAGACAAATCATCTATTGAACATTTTATAGACTGTGAAATTTCTGTGTCGTCTAATTCCTGTAGTGTATTCAGAGAACTATTCATGGACGAAGTAAAAGAACTGCTGGGTCATTTGCATAGAATTTGTATTAGATTTCGTAATGTAAATGTAATGTAAATATGTGTGTGTAGAGTAAATATGTGATTTAATTATTAAACGTATAATTTTATTAAACAGTTTGAGTTTTGTTTGTGTATGAATGTTTTGTATCTGTTTTTTGTATTTAATGTAAGTTTGTAAGCAATATAAATTAATTTTGAAGTAACAATATAATAAACCATTTAAACAAAAAATTAAAGAAAAAAGCAGAAAACATGCAGATAGAAATGATAGTAATAGTCATGCCTCATTATGCAAAGTTAGCTGGTGCAATTGTGCTTCATTTGTTACATGAATGATGGGTGAATTTTCACTTTTTCTCAAGTACACCTTGCCGTAAGATGTCCAACAAAACTGAAACCTTTTAGTTTTCACTAGATCTCTTGCCAAAAAGAATAGTCTAGAGCTCATTGGTGTTAATTGCTCCGATACGAAAATCGGGGTGTCTTCCTCACGAGTGAAACCTAAGTGTTTTGCTTGGAGTTTTGAAGATTTATTCTTATTGTTGTAAATTTTACACGATCTAAGCAAGGCTGTCTTTTGAATCGTGGAGTTAAGTTCCACGAGAATAGGTGTTTTCTTTTCTCCCTCTTTTTTTCCCCTGGTTCTGAAAACATCTTTAACATCTGACTTTAGTATCTCGTAGTTCACTGATTTCGATAAACAGACAACCATCTCTATAAGGTCCTCTTTGGTTTCATTCTTCGTTTTAGGAACATTCTTTAATTCAATGCCTGTTTTCCGATTTATTCTTAGTTGATCCTCTAGTTTTTCTTCCAAAATTGTGATGGTTTCTCGTTCTTGTTTACTTTTTATCTCTAACTCATTAAGCTTTCTACGTAATTCCTCGTTTTGTGTTGTTAAGAGGGCAATATTATTTTCAATGTTGGAGTTGCTTTGTTGAATTTCTTTAAGGTTAACTTTAATATCCTCAAGTTCTTTTTTCTGGGACTTAATTAAAGAGGTTAACATTTTTGGAATTTCATCTTTAAGTTTAGTGTCCAGCAAGTTACTGACTTCCTCGTATGTCAGTTGTTTCGGAGTATGGTTTGGACTCTTTTCTATATCTAATTGAGGTCCCGGACTCTTTGACATTTTCGAAGGTTGTGCTTTTGATATTGGAGTATTATCGTTTCGGTATCTTCTTGTTATTTGTGTACAGCTACCACACATAAAAGATTTTTTCAGGGAGTCTCTATGTTCTCGAAAGTCAGCTGAGGTGTAATTGGCACACCTATAGTGTAGGTGCAATTTACAGGCCGTACAAGTTAGAAGTTCAATTTGTGTCACAGGTTTTAAGCACGAAACACACTGCATAGTAGTAAAAATTCAAATTGTTTCGGCCGCTTATATGCTAGCAAAAAACTCCAAATTAAGATCGCCTCCAGTCCAGGTTAAGGACGCGTCTATTCTAATATATTTACTAGATAATATTATTAGGATATTATAAATGTTAAAGAGTAATACCAAAGTCGCAAACCTGATGTCTTGCGCTATAAGATCGTTGTTGCGTGCGTTTGATGTACCAGGGCAGCAAGAGGCGCAAGAGTTTCGTTGACTCGATGTGTTAAGTAGCGCACACAAAGATGTTACGCTCACGTAGAGATGCGTTGAGTTGACGTATTACGTAGCGCGCACACAGAGATGTTGCGCGTACGCAGCGATGGAGCGCGATGACGCACCGCACCGCAGATGTTGTACGTAGGGCGCTATCAGTAATCCTTGCACTACTCACACATTATGAACTCCTATTATTTGTCACGGATTTAATTTTACTAAATTATATTTTATCAATTAAAATTATATAAACAAGTGTAGATTAGACACAGCTATACTTTACAGAGGTCCGGGGGGAAGAGGTATATATTAGCAGATGTACAAAAAATGTTTGATCCTTTAGGATGGATAGCACCCGTAATTATCAAGGCTAAAATATTGATTCAAAGGCTATGGTTAGAAGGAGTAAACTGGGATGACAAAATAAACGAAGAATTATGGAAAGAGTGGCTGACAATACGTTATGATCTAGATAATGTCAATCAAATGCGAATCAAACGTTGGATTTATACGAAAACCGCTAATAAAGAAAACACATCACTGCACGGTTTCTGTGATGCATCTATAAAGGCAATATCTACTGTTGTATATTGTAGAACAGTAGATGAAAACGATATCGTTCAGACAAGCATTGTAGCTGCCAGAACCAAGGTAGCTCCAGTAAAAACCATTTCTTTGCCTCGTCTTGAGTTATGTGGCGCAACTTTAGTATCTAAGCTTCTAAATCACGTGGCTCAAGCGATGAGAATACCTTCTACACAAGTTTTTGCGTGGACTGATTCTTCAGTAGTTTTGGCATGGCTTATTGGCGAACCAAATAGATGGAAGCCATTTGTTGCAAATCGTGTAGTTGAGATAATGGAGAATGTTAAAAATGGCCAATGGTACCACGTAAAAACTCAGGACAATCCAGCGGATGTTGCGTCAAGAGGTTCCTCTGCTCAAGTTCTTCTCACAAATCAGTTATGGTGGCATGGACCACCATGGTTGTTACAGAAGGAAGTAATATTTTCGAGACCTAACATAATTCAACGCAATTGGATAAAAAATTAATAAAAATAAATTTAAATGTGACACTAATAAAAAATGAACAAACAAACCACTTTTTAAACTTTGAAAATTTTGACTCATTTGAAGAACTTCTAAAGACAATTGTATACAGCAGACGATTCTTAAATTTTAAAAGGCGACAGTACAATGAAAACTGTATTACAACTGAAGAATTACAACAAGCCGTAAATTTGTGTATAAAGAAAGCACAATTGGAAGATTTTTATGATGAAATAAAAACAATTACCGATCGTAAATATGTTCGGAGAAATAGTCGCTTAAAATCTCTAAATCCATTTCTTGATGAAGAAAGGATTCTTAGAGTAGGAGGAAGACTACGGCATGCAAATATTAGTGAAGAGAGTAAATTTCCAATTATTTTAGACGCTAAATCTTCACTCACAGCACTCATTGTAGCTGATGCTCATAAAAGAACGCTGCACGGTGGATTACAATTAATGTTGTCATACTTGAGAACAAAGTACTGGATTGTAAGGGCAAAAGTTGTAATAAAATCTCACATTTTTAAATGTTTGATATGTGCTAAAATTAGAGCCAAGGCAAAAGGACAAATAATGGGTGATCTGCCCCCCGAACGAGTTAACCCGTCACGCCCATTCCTACAAAGTGGTGTAGATTTTGCCGGGCCAATCCAAATACTTATGTCAAAGGGGAGAGGTAGACGAACAAGTAAAGCTTACATAGCTATTTTTATATGTATGTCAATTAAAGCCATCCATCTCGAACTTGTAAGCGATCTAACTTCAGAAGCTTTTATTGGGGCTTTTAGACGTTTTGTATCACGGAGAGGACGTTGCGCTCACCTGTGGAGTGACCAGGGCAGAACTTTCATAGCAGCGAACAGAGAATTGTCGGAAGATTTAAATGAAGCTAATTTAAATTTGAACAATCAAATTAAAAACGCTTTGGCTTTGGACGGCACCCAGTGGCACTTCATTCCACCTTATAGCCCTAACTTTGGTGGTTTATGGGAAGCGGGGGTTAAATCCATGAAAGGACATTTGAAGAGAGTCCTGACGAAGAATTTAACATATGAGGAGATGTCCACACTTTTGTGCCAGATTGAAGCGTGCCTAAATTCTCGGCCCTTAACACCAATTAATGAATCTGAGGTGGACAATATAAGCCCTTTAACACCAGGCCATTTTTTGATCGGTGAAGCTCCTATTTCTGTCCCAGCGCCAGACTTATGTGATGCAAAAATTAGCCTACAAGCACGTTGGCGATATACACAAAAACTCTTAGGCGACTTTTGGTATCGATGGCAGCATGAATATCTCACAAGGTTGCAACAAAGACCAAAGTGGCTTAAAAGGGAACGGGAATTTGCCATCAATGAAATAGTTCTCATTAAGCAAGATAAACTGCCTCCTGGAAAGTGGATGCTGGGTCGCATACTTGCCAAACATCCTGGACCAGATGGAGTCACAAGAGTTTACAGTTTAAAGTGCGGTGATGGTGTTATTAAAAGAAGTGTGTTAAAACTGTGTCATTTGCCTATTGATTGTAATTGAATTTTATTCGTATTTATATTGTTACGGCCTACGGTTGCTCCCTTAAAGGATCCAATCCCCCGGGGCCCATCAGCAGAAGACTTCCCGAGCAAACGTAGGTCGGGCCTCCTAAGGCCACGTGGAATCTCTCTAATTACACTAAAATATATGGGGGAGCGTTATACTACGGCCAGTCGACCGGAAGGAATTTGGCGGAGTTCACTTACCTCGATCCAAGACGACTGGTCCCTCCGGAGTCGGTCAGGTCGCATGTAGTTGTGTAGTGCAAGGGAAAGAATGGTGATGTGGTGTGTATCTGGGTGTGACTGATGGTGATTAAACCTGGACCTTAGCCGTCGGCAGCAGCCCGAGCGTCGACACCGCTCCAATTTGAGGGGGCCTTTCGAGGTTATCCACAGTCACTTTCTTGGTTCACCACGATGACAGTCACTTAACTCTATCGTACGATTAACTAGCTTACAGAAGCCACTAACTATCGCGGGGTATAAGGTTACCGCACAAAACACGCCCGGAGTTTCTAGGTCAAAGGTCACTACCGTTTCGCGTGGCAACAGTTCTAAATACCGAGGCCGCACTAGCTTATATTGTCGAATGCACTTATACAGATTCTGAGTCGGACCCAATAAGTCCCGGGAAAGGCTATCCAAACAGGGAATGCGCGTTATAATTCCTAGACAGGATATTTACTAGACGCCCTAACTATTCCGCGGTTCCCGCACAAAATTAACAGCGTGCAAACATTAGCACATCTGGCAGATGACTGATCCGCTTGCGACCCGCGCGCCACTGCCAGGATCGGAAGAACTTCAGACCGGAATCGCGCCGAGCCGAGTGACATCTGGTGTCGATTCCGACAACAGAGTTTTGCGCGAACAAACCCCCGTCCCGGACATAAGGATTTAGGTCCGCGAGCAAACCGGTCAGCGGGACAAGGTCGAGACTGCAAGTTGCAAGACCGAATCTACAACCAAACTAGGCCACCTTAGGCAATCCATTAGGTCTTGCAACCCTAATCAACGCCTCAAAGATATCCCTAATGTGGCAAGCCGGAGGGTCAGCCTCCACTGGATGCCCCTCCTGGGCATCGCAGCACTTTAATAAGTCCTGTACTGGACAGAAGTCCGACGACCTCTTTCAAACACCTATCTGTGCCCCTATGATTAGTTCCGCAATCCGACCGGATCAGCTCTGCAAACAGTGACGCGACACGAAGCGGCCTCGAGCGGCCTCCTAAGCTTCAGTGCAGAGAGCACCCACAAATTCCACATGAACGTCGTCTGTGGAGAGCCGAACGAAACGCACAGATAGTCCCTAGTATGAATTTTCAACAAGTAGGCCTAGCCAGGCCACCCACCATATTATCATTTACTAAAATAGTGCGGCAGCTGATTTCAATCTGATAATCTCCAAACTAGCTAGCCTGTTAGACAAGTAGTCCTATGCTCATATTTCAACTAATTTTTCAAAAGCATCAATGTTCAACTACAGAATTAATTCAACCAAATTAATCACCGATGCGCATAGGTCAACTTGCAAATTAAACAAAACAATAACGTAAGGGACAGCCCTACTTCTTAGAAAACAAAAATGATTAAACACTATCATAAACATAAACATAATTTTTCAAATAGTGCGCCATTCCATTTCAGATGAATTCAAATTTTCCTTTCAGCAAACAAACGCAACAATCAAATACAGTGATTAAATATATGTACAAAACACATGCAGTAGCATTTAAAGGAGTAGATTAAATTCAATTCTTTTAATTTAAACCGCTACAAATAGGAGAATTTCGCGGAAAGCCCAAAGCAATTTTTAATTTTAATTCAAGTATTTTTTGACTAAGTGCTCGACCAAACCAAATCTAATACCCCTTGACAGCGTGATTCAACGCTACAGGGGGGCCCTAATCTTCCCACCACCAAGGGGAGGCCACATGGCGTGAACCCGAGATAAATAGAGCACAACCTTTAACAGTTGCCACTCGGGTTGTACGCCTTCACTGAGGCCGTCGGCAACAGAACATTTTGACAAGTGGACTGTTGACGGCTTAAGGCTCAGTGGAGGCGGCCGTGGTGGGAACTAAGGCAGCAGCTAGACAGGGCCGCCTCCATCAAATGGGGAACAGTGGTACACCAGTCGCGGCCACTCAGCTAACGGAAGTGAGAAGGGTCCAGCGGACCGATGAGTGGCCGTGAAGTTCCTCTCCACACGCTGAGGGGGGGTGATGACACCCCCGCCCCTGGGGGAATTACCCCCCGACTGGTCGGGGGAGGGACTCCTTTCAAACTTAGGGGCCTGGTGGCTGGACGGCGGGCGCCGAGAGTCACCCTGCAGAGGGCGTGGCTGAGCGCCCCCGCCCGTGGGGGTCGAGGGCCTGGCAGAGCCCCGAGAGGAGATGCCGTTCGCACCCAGGCACAAAACGGCATGGTGATTGCCCTGGCAATGCAGACAGGGCCGTCGATGCGGACAGTCTCGCTGGAGGTGCCCTCCCAGACATGACCAGCACCAGTGGCGCTCCTTGGCGATAGTTCGCCTCGCTGGAACCGGCTTACCTAATAATTTCGGGCACGACGTTACCCGGTGATCAGATGCTCGACAATAGGAGCAGGGGGGGGTTGACGACGACTTGCCTGGCGGGTTCAGCCTCTCACTGGGCACGTCTCGCAAGTCGTCAACGGTGCCCGCCGCGTTCTCGATCTGCCGGCACTGCTCCTCCAAAAACCGCAGCAGGTCATAGAAGGGCGGAATATAGGAGGCCTCGTCCCCGCCGTACCTCTCCTCAAAATGGATTCGCAGGTCGAGAGGTAGACGGGACAGCACGATGCGGAGCAACAAAAAAGCCCATTCGCCCACTGGTAAACCCAGCCGCCTCAAAGTATTACAGGCCACCAAGACTGGATCCAACAGGTCCGGACGCAGTCTGGCCCGGTCACTAAGCAGCGGGAGGCTTAGAAGCTGCTTAACCTGTTCGTCCGCAATTCGCCGGACGTTGGCGTATCTTATGGCTAGGAGGTCCCGAGCAGTCTGGTAGGCGTCGTCCGACAATCTCAAGTGGCCGACGACGCCCAGGGCCTCCCCCTCCAGTGAGGCCAGGAGGTACACCATCTTTTGGCTCGGGGTCAAGTCACTCCGGGAGTCCACTAGGCTGTCGAAAAGACCAACGAAGGTCAGCCATTCGGAAAGGACCCCGGAGAACTTTGGCAGGTCCAGAGTTGGGAGTCGTCCCAACAGCTCCGGCTGAAGCCGCTTCAGAGAGGACTCGGACAAGTCACTCATCCGAGCTTCACGAGCCTCCTCGGCATACCTGCCTTCAGCCTCGATCAACTCGTCCGTGAGCCACAAGAACTGCTCATAGTCCGCGAAGCAGGAGTCCAGGACTCCCTTCTCCACATCCGAATCCTCGAGTTCAGCGTAAGCCTCCTCCACTGCGGCCCTTCGAGCATCCACCTGCTCGAACTGCTTCATCAAGTTATGGACCCTATCCGGTCGACCTATCAAAGCATGGGCGCTTGTGGCCCAGCGTAGCTCAGTCCGCAAACAACGGATCAGGAGCTTGGGCGATGTCATCACTATTAAATGCAAATTACGACGCGGCTTGAGCACAGTTTACAAAGATAACAAATAAAAAATACAACAAAAAATTAACAGTTAATAAATGCAGTTCCTATCAAATCGCGTTGAATAGAAATTACACAAATACGAACTACTTGCTACGTATCAACCAAATACAAGTTAGCACAAAAAAGACACAAATCAAATTAACAAATAACAAATACTAGTGCGATCGAATCAAGTTAAATTCAAATTGCGCAAATACAAACTACTACTATTTAGTTCAAATACAACTTACAGTATAAACGAAGATACACATCACGGTCGATCAACAAAAAATGCCTAGCTCGGAAATCGAACCTTCGATAAGTAATCCACTACAACTCTCCGACAACGATAATTAACCGATTACGTAAAAATAACCATCTACCTACATGACGTATATCTCTAGAAAATCTCCCGCTTGCACAACCTAGGGCGCGGCTTTTCAAATTACCCTCTAACCAAAAAAAAGGCAAGCAACAAAGCAACAAAGGAAAATAATTCTATTATTACGTACAAAAAAAATATTTTTACGTATTACGGACGGGCGTGATTGTAGATGCAAATTAAACCAATCACACCAACGCTCCCTGCCACCAAAATTGTTTAATGTTTATCAAACACTATAGTCGGGATCGACCGGGAATCGAACCCGGAACCACGCTCTGCTACCAAATGTTACGGCCTACGGTTGCTCCCTTAAAGGATCCAATCCCCCGGGGCCCATCAGCAGAAGACTTCCCGAGCAAACGTAGGTCGGGCCTCCTAAGGCCACGTGGAATCTCTCTAATTACACTAAAATATATGGGGGAGCGTTATACTACGGCCAGTCGACCGGAAGGAATTTGGCGGAGTTCACTTACCTCGATCCAAGACGACTGGTCCCTCCGGAGTCGGTCAGGTCGCATGTAGTTGTGTAGTGCAAGGGAAAGAATGGTGATGTGGTGTGTATCTGGGTGTGACTGATGGTGATTAAACCTGGACCTTAGCCGTCGGCAGCAGCCCGAGCGTCGACACCGCTCCAATTTGAGGGGGCCTTTCGAGGTTATCCACAGTCACTTTCTTGGTTCACCACGATGACAGTCACTTAACTCTATCGTACGATTAACTAGCTTACAGAAGCCACTAACTATCGCGGGGTATAAGGTTACCGCACAAAACACGCCCGGAGTTTCTAGGTCAAAGGTCACTACCGTTTCGCGTGGCAACAGTTCTAAATACCGAGGCCGCACTAGCTTATATTGTCGAATGCACTTATACAGATTCTGAGTCGGACCCAATAAGTCCCGGGAAAGGCTATCCAAACAGGGAATGCGCGTTATAATTCCTAGACAGGATATTTACTAGACGCCCTAACTATTCCGCGGTTCCCGCACAAAATTAACAGCGTGCAAACATTAGCA